ATTTCCAATCAGACTACTGACACTTTCCAGGATCTCCCAGGCCTCTTTCTCTGATGCTGCTCGATTAATTTCAGTCACAATCCACACAATAGAACAATCTCCAACTATCTGAAAGGAGAATAACATGTCTCAGTGCTTCATTGAAAGATGACTGTTTACAGACAACACAGTATAAGCAAAGAGCAGTAGATATGAATTACCCCTTTCCACATCTGATCTCTGCTCTTGTTACAGTCACCATTTCCAGGAAGGTCCACAAGTGTGACATGCTGGAGAAAAGGATTGTTTGGCACCCTGACAGTCACACACTTCACTAGTGGCCAAAACCACTTTTTTCCTTCATTACCTTCTCCTTGTTTTGAATCACTTCTTGTGTACTTGACACATTTTGCAGAAAGTTCATTAGCCTGCAATAAATAATGAAAGTAAAGCAGTGCAGTTTAATTTCAGTCCTCACAGAAAGTGCTTTATAGAAATCATTAAAAAGTCAGTGACATAAAAAAAAGTTAAGTAATTAGTGTTTAGTGTTTTTGATTTAAATGATCAGATTGTGTCATGTACAAGCTTCCCCTTGTGTTATATTGGACCAAGAAAAACATCAATCAAATCCAAAATGAAAATAATTTTTATGATTTATTTAATTTTTATTCTCTATTTAAATCATGCTATGAACACTCTTGTTCTCAACAGCCAGTATTACTATTAGCAGAAACTACTTCATGTCGGCCTTTTGCAAAGTTGTCCACTTTAACTGACTGTCAGACACTGATTTACTTTGTGGCCACTTTGATTCAGTCTTTGCTGACTTTGCTCAGCAGTGAATTTTTACGGAGCAATTTAAAGTGTAAGAGTAGGTTAAAATAGGGAACTGATCACTGTTGTGTAAAGATGTAAAGGTTCTTATTGCGATTTAAAAAAATAAAAATCATGCTCTACATCACGGACCTGGACCAGTCTTGGGTCCTGTTAACAACAGTTATTACAAGAACAGATTTATTTTTTCTGGAAATGTGATCATCTAAAGATCATTGTGGGATCTCAGTAAGATCTGTTTCAATCACTGGATCTGTTTTCAGTGTTTTGTTTTTTGGACTTTTGAATCTATGCTGCATGCCGTTTTCAGAAGTGAGTTATGTTTCTAGTTCTTGGTCTTTTGTTTATTTTTTCAGTTCCCTTTTTGTGTCCAGGTTGTCCTAGTTTCACCTGTTTGCCCTTCCCAGCATCCCCAGTGTGTAGACTATCATGGCTGTCTGTTATAGTAGTAATATGAGTTTGTCTTACTGATTCACATCTCAATATCTTCCGCCTGGATTGGAGAAATTCTGGAATTTCTTTGAAATATTTGTTCTCCATGAGGTTTTCAGAAGACTTTTCTTTCCATTCTTCTCCATAAAGTGCTGACAGCTTTTCAACAGCATCACGATAATCATCATCGTCTTCCTTTTCCTGATTTTCATTATTGTCAAGAAGCTGATGAAATGACCACAACTCATCTTTCCACTCCTACAAAAATAGATGACAAGCCATTTATTGGAGGAATGTACCCAGCCTTAAGCCCCAAGAACTGCACTATAACAAATGATTTAGCTTTAAGTACAAATCAAACGTTGAGAATTCATTTTACCTCCTTTGTGATGAACTCAATTTCTGCTTCATACTTGTTGTGTGTGTTGGCTTCTACTTTGATCATGACTGAGGTGCAAGCATTGATGCTTCCTGAAGGTAAAAGATTCTTCTCTTCAATTATGGCATTTATCAAAGAGCTCTTTCCAGCCCCGGTTTTACCAAAGACACCAACCAGCTCCCTCTTGTCTGTCTCCAAATCACTGATCTTTTTCCTGATGAATGAGATTTTAAATATGGGTTAATTGATTCAGTCATGAAAACTTTTTTATGCATGCTTTAAAAAAGAGAGTTTCAAAGAGAGTTATAATCATGGTAGTGATCATCAAATGAAATATCACTAAATATTTTAGTTTTATACACATACACCACTAATTGTTTACTGTATGTTGTTTTGATCCGCATCTTCCTTTTTGTGTCAGTTAAAGTGAAAATGTTTCCC